AAGACGAAGCTCCGATTATATATAAAGAGTAGATTAAAAATTTATTCCTTTATTATATTATATATATATATTTATATGTATATATGTATAGTTATCTGATTGATGTAATATATATAAATATTGAGATTACACGTCGCATAATTGTTACTAACTGTTGCAAATACTTTAGATTACTTGTGATTCGGATGATACAAGATCGTGATATAACGATATGAGCGAAATATCACATCTGATACTGTAAAACTTCAACTATGAAATTAGTTGTTAAGGTTATTGAACGATACAATTAAATTGAAATACATTATTGGACAATAAACTTAATTGTTGAAAATAAAACGATCCATTAAACGATTGCATTTAAATATTAAATTTGAGATCTTATCAAGAAATTATGATGTGTCCAGAAGCTAAAAAATAATTAAACATGATATCGAGAATAGTTATAATATATTATATACATATATAGGAAATGCATTATAATCCCAAAATCTATTTATTATTCGTTGATATTAAATACATGCATTGTGATTATATGAACATAATTTACATAATTAATTTTGAAATATCTTATTTTTATCAAGAATGTGGTGAATATTGTACTATATAATACTTTGTCTCTTACGTCCTATAATTATCTTTAAAATAATTTTTTTTTATTTTAACTTTTCACAATTTATTGATACAGAGATAACTCGCGACATCGTAACATCATCGCGTAACTCTCAACGCAGCTAATATTCATTCTAAATGTCTTACGCGCGTTTCGATGATCGATATGTCAGCGGACGCAAGTGCCACACGTGGAAAACAAACACTAATAATGGGATTAGCGTGGGGCGGCTGGTTGACGGCGATAACGAAAATTGATTTCACCCTTCGCGTCCCCTTCGACCACCCTATGGCACGGGGATGCTCTCGCGCGCATTGACGTTCATGGGACGCTGCGCAAAACTGGCGACACGCCTTTCTCCCACCGGCACACCCCGACGAGACCCCAATAAGCCACACGTGCCTGATAGAACATTGGTTTAACCCATTCAAGAAATGATTTAACTCTGTTAACGGAAATCAATGGCCCTCTCACATTCCGCTAAACAAAAGTTACATGAGGATACTGAGTCATTATAAAATTGTGGCACGAATTTATGACAATATTTCACTCAGGCGAGAACCTTGAATTTCAAAAATACACAGAAAGATATTGAAAAAAAATCTATAAAGAGTTTATGAAAAAAAATAAAACGTTTTTTTTAACATTTCAACGACTTTTAGGTTTTGCTAAAATTTCACATGATTTATAATATATTTATATAATTACGAAAATTATAAAAACTAATTCGTGAATTATTCTAACAAAAATATGTATCTGTATTGATGCGTTAGAGAAATCTATCACTTTTAGAGAAAAGTGATAATTTGAAGTTTAATAATTTGTGAAGTAGTAGAAACGTTGTGATCAAGTAATAAGATGTTAGAGAAGCAGAATTTAAAAAGAAACAGGCAATGTCTCATGCAAAATTATTTTATGACTAATTTGCTTTAATTTAATTACAGTTAATTCTGAATTTGACATTTCATACTATCTTAGTCACTGTTGTGATATTTGCTTGATTATTGAAAGAGAATTTCTGATTCAACCCAATATTTAACTATTGCAACACTATTCTAAGATGGCTATCTAACGGTGACACTCATATACAAGTGAAAGTGCTGCTGAGATATCGAGCAGAACGCTATTGAAACGAGGAGATGGAGGCTGCGCGAGTGTTCGCCGCTGATAAGGGATGCCCCGCCCTGCAGCCCTCTCACAGCAGTTACCCTCCCGCGTCCTCACGTAGAATTGCAGGGTCAAGTTGTTGGAGGGCCGCGCGGGCGTGAGATATTAATCTCGGGGATTAAACGGACAAATCGACGGAAGATTAATTTTTAAGGTGCCGTAAAGTGAAAGGATTATCTCGACGTTTAATTAACAGTTACGCTACGTCGTTTTGTAATTAATCTTAGCTTTTAATTTTTTACGGGTTCTGCCATGTTTCGCTACGCGCGGATGAGTTTAGATTTGAAGACAAATATACTAGAGAATTATATAGTTGTCGGAACATCTATATTTATATATTGCATTGTCGATGTACTGTAAACGAACGTACTTATAATTATGATTTCGTGATATCGCTAAATTTATAACACATTTATATATTATGGGTATAAATCTTCCGCCTATATATTCCATCGATATTAATGATTTTCTGATTTTTATCTGAAAATCGGAACGCAAAGACCGCGATAAGAGTCACGTGAGTCAATCTCATGAGGCGATGGCAATATTAATACCTTATTCTTATTCATTGACACGCGCAAATTGGCCGCGAGTTGCCAGGCCTGTGGGAAACCGCTACAAAATATCCCCTATTAAATTCTGTGGGGCACCCTAGGGGTGCCTTTTTGTTGAATTTTCTGTAATGTGACTTTCATTGGACTGGTTAGTTTTCAAATTTTCTTTGTGTATATTATCGTGTGTAAAAGGAATAATATTGTGTTTTATGCGATTATTGTACAGAAAAGGTGTAACAATATTTAATTATTAATATAAAATTGACATTCAAAAGAAACGATAAAAGTTGCATAGTTACATTACGCTAGGACTGCGTAGAGTCACACAGAAAAATGAAATGGGTGATACATTCACGAAGATTTTTCCCAAACAATCAACTTTCGATTAGTCGGATTCGATGGGCATAAAAAACGATGCCCTGCTTAGTATACATTAAGGGTGAGAGAGCAGCGCTACCCCCCATCGTCAAGTGGCCACCAGCTATGGGTTGTTTTATTGTGACACCTCGGGAGGGTGCTACAGATTTTCCAGTAGGATGCGTCGGGGTGTCATCGTCGGAGGTTGATTAGATAGTATCATTCTTGATGCTCATTCAAGCGCCATTACGAGCCAATCTGCGTGGGAGCTGGTCTGGTTTTGGGTAAGCGATGACTATCTGCAGAAAATCAATGATAGATAATACTATTTATCAATTTTAAGTTACAAAAATGTATCTTTTCCCTTGACTGATATATTTATATGTATATGTATAATGTAAAGAAAAAAAATTAATAAATTTATATACAACAATAATTGGGAGGAAATCTATATCTAATGCGTGAATAACTAATTAAATATAATAAATTACTTATAAATAGTTACCATTACACACACGCATATCTATAGTATTATTTATAAAAATGATAATAATTAATCATAACTATTAAAAATTTAAAAATAAAATATCTCAAGAGATGTTAAAAAATAAATATTATCTAAAAATAGAAGAATTTGGAGTGCAATGTGGTTCTTGTCGAGAGACCGTGTTTATCGCTTTTATGAAAAAATTATTCATCTGTTTTATCGCGAGTAAAGTTGTTGTGACCGCAACGATAATAACTGGATAATAGTAGCGATAAGATAGACCGCGAAACTTGACACGTATTATTCTTTAGTGTTGTAGAAAGCATCTTTGAAACACATGGCAATGAGTCGAAGCAGGAAGGGGATGGAGATAGATTTGTTTACAATATACGCAGGCAAACATACACACTTGTACAAGATAATGAAGAAAATCTTGTAACCGTCTCTATGCCTGCCAATTGAATTGAAACGTACAAATTTAATTGAGCAACGGGTGATTACGCGGCGATAATGTTTATAACATTAATCTTGGAAGACCTACTCGATATTTTAATGATATATATTTTATTTATACTATTTAATAACAAATTGTATTTTATGTGCAATTCCATAACAGATTGTACTTTATTTGCTATTACGTGAATGTAGAAGCTTCAACAATTTTCAGCTAAATTTGGAAGTATTAATAAAAACCTAACACCTAGAGAAAGATTTCTTCGATTTATAGTAAAGAAATGTTTGTTTGTCATACAGTTAAAGAAAAATTTTCTTTGATTTGAACGTCATTTCTTTGATTTGAATATAATTTTTAATCAAATAAATGTTTTTATTTGATTTCAAAAAATAATGTTTAAATAAATGTGTTTAAAGAAATGACGTTCAAATCAAAGAAATTTTTTCTTCAACCATATAGCAAAGAAACATTTCTTTAAATCGAAAAAATCTTTCTCTTGGTGCAGAGTACATTAATATTTGTATTTTACTATACAATGTAAATTATTCAGTAAGCATAGGTAAACATTGGTGTTCTTGGGACATTTTTAAATATACATTATTTAACTCTAAAAATGTCAGATCTTTTTAAATATATCGGACTTTAATCTTGGAATAAACAGCTTATAAAGGCCACGTGCGTAACCCTCGGTAACCTACACGTGTCCTATTATACAGCGAGTAACTTTTTTTATATTGGGAGGATGGACTCGCTAACTGACCCATAAATGTAAAAGTTGCCTGCAACTTAAAATAAATATCAGAAATTCGTTTTTTATATATTTAAGCACCAAAATTCGCTTTAACTGAAAATAGGATTTTTCTTAGTTTTTTCTCATTGGTCTAATTTCGAACTATAATTAGTTTTCCGATTGCTATTATATATTACAATAAAATAATTTTAATTTTAATTATAATTAAAAAATTTCTCAATTAAATTCTTTTTTAATCGGAAAAGTCGTGGATGTAAGTTTATACAAAAAACTTTAATTTCTTCATAGCCGATTTCATGCACTTAGCAAAGCTTGAAAGTGACGTTGCTGTATGTCGTGTCTGTATCGCTAAATCTTACGAACAATGATATTATGCAAACCGAGGATCGATGCACAATAAGGTGGAAGCAGTTGCATTTTCGTTGAATGTATGAAGATGTGATCCGCGTCGATACAGGGATGTTGGATGGGACGGACCTGACACGAGCTCCACCCATGAAGCCTGCGCTCCGCCCTCATGAAATTCATTTACCCAGAGGGTTACCCTGGACTCGCGACTAGTTAGATCGACTCTTTCGACATCGGTGTTTCTCTCCATTATAACCACGATGCGAATTGTATCGTTCTCCGAGTTATTTGTTCCTTAAGTCAATCTCTATCGTTTAATCTCGCGATACTGTTGAATTTTTTTTCGCGTGCAATATGGTGAGTCTTGACCTCTTTATGTGCCTTTGTGATTGTGTTAAAATATATTCTTCATACCTTTCGGCAAATGGAGATCTTGCGATTTCTAATGTGTGCAAGTTGTATTATGTGTTCGCAAAAATATGAATTTCCTGCGATGTCGTGATGTGTCATAGATTTAGAACTCTTTAACTCATGATTCAAGTGCAAACCATTTTAGTTGAATTTACAATTGTTTTAATCTTTTAAAGAGATCTGAAATTGCAAAAAGCAAATGTAATACATATATGTGCATCTAGCTTGTTATTCATCATGATAGAATGAATAATGTTAATACATGGACATTTTTTAAACAAATTTTTAAAAAGTTATTGGTATCAATTTATTAGTATCTTGTCAGTAAAAAATAATTAACATTAAATAGACGCGATAAATTTAAACTTATAAAACCTGTTGACTGACAGAGAATTCATTATCTATCAATAATCAGTTTTCTAATACCAGACAAATTGAAGAATAAAATTATGACTAAGAGAAGATGCATATGTATAGACGGAAACGCTTCCTTTTTCATATAAATAAAACTGATATGCACAAAGCAACCGCGAGTGCATACATGACTAATATCACGTATAAAGATAAATCGAGTGGCATACATATCTGTCGAATGTCAGGGACAGTTGAAGAGGACGTAGTATCAACTTCCTGTTGGCGTTATATAGCTAATTATACATATAAATGATGAGAATATATCCTTAATTGGCTTGTTTTATTATTACTAAATATTCATTGATTCTACTTACAGATTATAATTAATCACGGTATTAAATCAATAATTAATAGATTAGTAAGATAGATTTAGATCAGTAATTCCAATGAGTTTCAAAATTGTAAACATAAAATAATGGTTTTTACATTTATTTGAGAGCATTAGAACGCGATGATTGGCGTTGAAAAATGGTAGCACAATTTCTTGCGCATACGTTCGTTATATTTGTTCACCATACTTATCAATCATTGCAGCCGATGTTAACATATAGTGGCTGCGGTATAGGAGCTGCGGAGGCCGAAAATGGTTCTCCAGCTGGATCGTTACTGTCTGGCGAAGGAGAGCTTGCGGAAGAAGCCGGCGATTCGCCCGGAACATCAAGGGACACTGAAGAGGAAGCCACGCTTTCCGACGAATTTTATTCCCACGATACAGATGAGGAGGAAGAACAAAACAAAAGACGGAGGGACCGTTCCAGTTCCGTGAGTAAAATTTAATATTCGCTTTCCTGTGTGTTTATTAATAATATTAATTTATATTAGCGAATTCGATTGGATGCTCTCAGTGCGCGCTGGTGCACATGAAGTATTAAATTGTTGTATTCAAATTAATATAAAAATATGTGCTTAACATAAATATAAAAACGGATTAAACCATGAAATCTTCAATATATTTTATTGTACTGTTAAGTAAAATCTGTATTTTATAATTTGAACTATTTGCATTTTACTTTTACACAGATTAAAACGCTGTGTAACGGCTTTAATATGCAGTAGTACGTCCAACTGAATTTGCTAGACGTTTCAATTATCGTTGAATATAATAGATTTTATGGTGCGTTTTCCATTTGGCACCCTACAAGTGACGAAACTCGCGAGTATAATTTGTCCTTAACATTTAATAAACAACAATTAAATAAAATGATTCCATGAGTTACATAAGCACCAAATTAAAGTGGAATATAGTCATAGTGTCCTAAATTTTGCTAGTTTATCTGGAATCCAAATAACAGTTTACGAATTAAGTGATTATAGTTTAATGAAATCCGCAATAATCTCGTAGCTAGACGGCATCTCGTCTTCTGGCAGTGGTCATTTGGGGTCGCCCACGCCCCGTATAGGTAATTTAGGAGTAAGAAAATTATTCACTAACAGCCGTGAACGATGGAGGCAGCAGAACGTGAGTGGCGCCTTTGCTGAGCTTCGCAAATTAGTGCCGACTCATCCACCTGACAAGAAGTTGTCGAAAAATGAGATTTTAAGGATGGCAATAAGGTACAAACATGTTTTAATCCTAAGCAGTAAATATTCTATTTTTATCTATATTTCTTGAAGAATTTCTTTAAAAAGAGGAAATGTAAAGGCATTTCTTTATCTTAAAAGTAATTAAGAATAATCTATCAAAATTTTTGCATTTCTATTCACAGAGACATGCAGATTCTGGAAATTCTATTAGAATATTAACAATTTATTTAAAAAATTAATAGAAAAATAACCAAATATAAATTATTTTAGTCTAATATTATAATAGAAATATATACAAAAAACATAATAATAGATTTTTAGCATTAAAATTTTTTAAACTAAGATATATATAAATAAAAATGGAAATTTTATTAGAATATATATATTATATTGTGTCTCCAACATCGTTTTTCACTCCTTATAAATGTATAATCATTTTCGATCATTTTTACTTGCTGTGTCAGAATTGTATCTATATCACATACAGTATTTAAATTTCTAAATTTTTAAATGATTAGTAAAAATAATATTAAAGTAAAAATTTATTGCGCGCCTGATGTCCAAAATTGAAGAAATAACGAATTTTGTTGCATAGGTACATAAGGTTGCTAAGTAATGTTCTGGAATGGCAAAAAAGTCAAGATCGTAATGGGATGCAGCACGATGTACGCATCAAATGCGAGTCGCATTTGAACAATCAAAATTCCACATACCACTTGAAGCCAAATGTAGCGTTTCTGAAGCAGGAGAAGCTCAGTAACGAAAATTCTCACGTCTTTCGTGTTAATTACGCCACGCAAAGACATAGTTCGCACACGTGTGACAAGAATGGCAGTAATTTGCTGATGATTGCCCCGAGCGGACTCAATACAACTATTTCCGCCGGAAAACGCTGCGTCACATCCTCCATCGTCGTTACTCAAGGCAACTCTCTTTTCCACAGGTGGATTACCAAATTAACTTTGTGCTTGCAAAAGAATAAGCGAAAAATTAATAGGCACTCGATTCATAAAGCTTATGAATTCTTAAGCTCTTTGGATTATCAGATTAAAATTGCCTTTTCTCTTCTTTAATGGAATAACGTATATAGTTCATTCATTTACTTCAAATTTATTATCTGAACCGGAATATTTGTTCCTCTATAATATGACTAATACGATTGGACAATCAAATTCTAATTTGAATCCTTATTCAAATTTTTTTAAATCAAAAGTTGACTATTAATTAAGTGAAATTCTTTATTTAATAATTAATGATTTCCGGAATGAATAGAATTTAAAATTTCTATTTAAAAAATTCTCAAAAAAATTCAAGAATGTATAATATATTGTATTTTTACTGAAACCAATTACCTTTTAATCTTTACTTCTTTTGAAATTTTTTTAAGAAAAGAATATAAAAGAAAAATATACATAATTTTTATTGACATAAATATTCGTACTTTTTAAACAAGCTATTTTGTATTTTATTGAGTGTATTATGCATTGTTTTAATTACTAATACTTTTAATTCTATGTTTCTCATAGCAACAGCAATGGAAATCTTATACGTTCTCCATCGAGCGGACGGTCCTCGAGTTTTCCGAAATCACCGCAAATCTCATCGAACACTAATATAGTACCTAATGGCTCCTCTTCATCTTTGACGGGTAACACATCAGTTACAAACGGAATAGGATCGAGTGGCTCGAATTGTGCCCAAAAAAGGTTTAAGATTGAACGAGAAGAGGAAGACCAGGCATCAAGGGACTGTAGAGTTCCGCCACCACCTGTTCATAATGTCCCGGTCAGAAAAAGGGTCAAAGTCGCCTTTGTAAAGGACTCAAGTTCAGGGTTTCGCGGCGATTTGTGCGGTGCAGATCGCAAATGAAACATTAATGAGAGAGATATCGTTCGTAAACGTATCAATTGTTGAGGTCACTTTGCTTTAAGTGCGCGCATGTTATGTAAATATTTCTTTTACACTGTATTTGACAATAATTGGTGTATGTGTGTGTATGTGTGATACAAAATTAATTAAAAAATTTTAGATCTCTCGTGTGAGCTAATATCTTGAATTAATATATGAAAGTTTATTTTCAATTATTCAAATATCAATAATACTTTTTTTTTTTCTATTCGCGCTAAATTATTATATTAAATATATATTTAATTTTGTAATTCATTCAAATATTGATTTAATAAAAATTTCTTCTTGTTATAAAAAGACATTTTCTTTTTAAAAATAATATTTTGTAAATGGTTCCACCGTTCTATTAAAAATTCAATTTTAGATTGATTCTTTTAGAGAGATTGAATTTGTTATTATCTTGATTGGAAATAGTTACAATCAATAATTTGATTAAAAAAAACATGTATTTTTTAGCACAATATTTTTTAAACAAAAATTAATTTATCTTCCAATTAGCAAAAGAATCGTGATTAGAAAGATGAACCGAAATTCTAAATCGTATGCGTACAGAAAAATTTAGACAAAAGGAGCACATTCTTCAAAGAATATTTTATTATCTTTCATATTATTTCGTTTGTACATTATTAACATCGCAGTTATGTTTTGAACACCGACATGAAAAACATGAATAGGAAACTTTCAGTTACGTGACTCATTGTAAACCTGCTATAAATATATTCACCAAGCTCCTGCGTCCCATCGGGTGCCATTTATTGTAGATTCTGTAATAGAATATATACGAATATTTCGTGCATCCATCCATTTACACATCGCATTATTTTACGATGAACACAATAAATACCTGAATGCTTAACAGTTATCCACTGAGAACAACTCCATCGTATTTATCGCAGATTGTTTATATCTTATACTTACTCATTTTCATAGATATTCACAATATAATATATTCAAATTTCGTTTTTTAGTTGACAAAAGTGACGGGCATTGTCCAACACAGAATTAACACTGTACAATGAATTTAAATTTGTGACACACTATCCACATAGCATGTAGAGCACACCATGGCTCTTTTTGCTTACAAATCGATTGCCTACAGCATCGTTTGCCTACATCATTTTTGCCGATAGTTCGTTCGCGCACAAAAGTTATTGTCTACATGCACTTTTGCGCATAAGTAAAAATTTCAGAAAAGAAGTCACATTCGCTTATGTGTATTATTGCCTACATGTAGTATTGTCTACATCAATTATTGCTTACAGCTCGATTGCCTACAAGCATTATTGCACACAAATATAAAATTAAGATTAAATTACGTAAGAAAATAATTTGTATTTTTAAAACAGAGAATTTGTGTTTTAAAGTAGAGAATTTGTTTTAAAACAGAGAATTTGTGTTTCAAAACAGAGTTTGTGTTTTTAAAGCAGAGAATAGTACATGTAAGCAATCGAGCTGTAGGCAATAATACATGTAGGCAAATGTGATTTCATTTCTGAAATTTTTATTTGTGCGCAAAAGTGCTTGTAGGCAGACGATGCTGTAGGCAATCGATTTGTAGTCAAACGGAGTTTCCCCTTTATTCAACGTCCTGGAAACGTCCTTAAGACATAAGGTTCTCTCCTGGATGTTCCTTGGAGGTCTGTGCTATACGAGTATTATTGACGATTTTTGTGAAAAATCGTATCGAGCTTTTCTTGTTACGGTTATTTCTCCATCCCACGAACTTGTACTTCCTCTTCGTCGAAACGTTAAATATTAATCTAAAACCCTGCGAAAGCGGCATTCGCTTCGCGAAATGCCTGCTCTCGCAGGCATTTCCTATGTTAAATACACTTTATATCTAGTACTGTCCCTTTTTGGTTCCGACAATTTCTTGGGAACGTATCGTTCGTCGTTGAATTCGATCGGTGGCACCGGGGTAGATGGTCGCTCATCGCTCTGGCTGAAAGCTCTTCTTGGTGGGATATCGGGGATCATTCGGGTACCTTTGCACTCAACACTGCCCCTCTTGCCCAGGTTTACGCTGACGTAACTGGCGTCACTGGTACGCGAGTCTCTTTTTGTGAAGTCTATTTCTACGTAGCTGACTTGGGAACCGCGTGGTTTCATGCTCACGTCCGAATTCCGTTTGTTCTCCTTATCCACCAGTCTCCTAATAGCCGGTGCTTCCGGTCGATTCCTCTTGAACGTCACCAATTCTGGCTGCCGGGACGAACAAGACTCTCGTCGGACTACCTTCTCATCGTAGTCATCCGAGTAAGTGCGCCGTTCGCGGCTGCGAAGTCGCTCCGCGCTGAAATCCTCACTGTATCGCAATTTGTCATTGAACTTTCGTAGACGCTCGTCTTGCTCGTCCGCAAACACTTCGCTTGCGTTGTGAATATTGCGTTTTGGTTTTCGTTTGTCCTCCTCATGTTGAGCCTTGGACTGTGAAAGATAAAATAAAAATAAGGTGAACTAACCGTTCAAAGCATCAGATTTCACTATTGATCTTAAAAAAATTCAACATAGATACCTTAAAAATATCGATTCTATCATTGAACTCCAAATCTTGACTATTCCTGCGAACCGGTAGATAATTGCTCCTTTCTTCTTCGCTGCTACTCTTGCTAATCCAAGTGTTCTCTCGAGAAGTACCTGCCCTCTTCGGCCATTCGTTCTCCGTCTTAAAATCGTATAAGTCGCGCATACGTTCGCTAAGTTTATTTGCTCGTTCGTCAGTGTCGACATAACTCAAGGAGCGGTCTTTTACTCGCTCATTATTATCGGCAAAGCTGAAGGAGCGATCTCTGCCAATATCTAACTCATCTGTAAACATTTAATGCAAAGTAGTCTGCATAAATCGAGTGCATCAAATAACAATATGACCACTTTTCATACCTTGTCTTTGTAAACGTCCTTTCTCGTTCTTCGCTGGAGAGAATTTTCTGGGGGGTTGCCATTTGGAAGCGTCCGCGTTCTTGCGCGATCCTTCGTCCTTTCTGTCGTATTCCGTTACAGAATCCTTCCTCTCAGGATTTATCCTTGGTACAGGTGACGGACTTTTGGTAAACGTCATCCATCGGGTAGCCGCGCTCTTCGTGATTTCACAGCTAATTCTCGCAAGGGGAGACGTCTCTCGATAAAACTTCGCACCATTAATGTGTGGTAGCCATCTGAGAAAATCATATGTCTAAAGTCGAACTTATACCTCAAACGTTTATTTGTTATTTCAATTATATATTAACGCATATTCACACAAATACAAAGCAAAGGTCTCATATCTTTGATAAAGATATTGTTATCCATGATTAACTGCAATAGATTACTTCAACACAGCGCTGAGTTGATAGAAAAGTGAAACGTCTCAAAATTAGTAACATTTTAGAAAAGTATTTTTTTTAAATTGAATTGGAAATAGCATTTTAATTAGTATAATAAATGCAATTTTTACAACTTTATTTTCTTTCCATGTTTCAATTATAAGTATTCTTTAAAATTATGTTATGTGTGAGTTTTTAAAATTTGAACACTGTAATTATAATATAATATAAATTTCATCTTTTAGTCAGAGTTATAATATTTTTCTGCATAAACATATGAACTACAAATGTTATTTTTCTACAAAAATATATTAGTTGTTAGAGTTAATTTCCTTTCATTACCTAAATATCTAAAAAAATAATTTTTTTAAGATAATTTTTAAAATAATATTAAGTTAAGTTAAAAATGCTAATTTTTTACTTATGTCACTTTTCTATCAACACAGATATGTGTAACTTCAATGGGAATTGGTATGCTTCGTTTTTTAATTCATATCCGTTTTTCGTCACCACAGCAAACTTATTGATCATTATTAAAAATATCTGTTCAAGCAGCCTATTGTACATAATAATTTTTTATTTATACGTATAACTGATTAAGTTGAGCTTGTTTTTGATAGCTTTAAATAAAGAATGTTCAATTATTAAATTATTAATTAAAATATACTAAAATATACTAAAAAAAAATCGCAAAATCAATATTAATTATCCATGCATATTTTTCAGAGGAATAAAATTGTTGTCATAAAACTCTCTTTTTTTTCAATTATTATCCCACGTAAATAAAGGAGAAGGGAATATATCTGAACATTAAAACAAACTTTTACGAACTTCGAAAATTCTCGTTATTATGTATCGAATAGCTATTTTTATGAAACTCTTAGTCCAAGATATGAACCATAAATATACGACGAGCGTCACAACGTGAAAAGATATTAGCGACTAGTTCCGGTCGATGGAGCAAACCAGGCACCACTATGTTTTCACGTTGCTTTGCACTCGGTTCTTGACCAACGTGAATTTTCATCGACAAATTGCCAACACCGGCTCGGCTACACAGAAGGAAAAGGCGAACGAAAGAAGCAGAGAAATCTGACCGAAACTAGACGCCATTACCCGTTGGAGGCTCCGTAATGACTATCGTGTTCAATCGCGCCTACGAATCTCAATTACAATCCCGATCACGGCATTTCTCGCTTTCGGACGTGGAAAATGTGCGCAGTCAACCTCGTGGCGATAGTTTGCGGGTCGCTGCAGTCCGTGTGCCTTCGCTGCTCAGTGATGCTCTTCTCCGGCCTCTTAAGAACGGTCATGTCGGTGCTGTAACTCCTCACGGTGTACTGAGGTCGATCGATGACCTCGGGCAACAGTCTGGAGAATCGATTGTCGGTTGATGAGGGTGGCTTCGTTGGCCATTTCTCGGCGTCCTCAGCCGATTCGTCGATGCTCTCTTGTCGCTCATCCCTCGAAAGTCTCTTGGTCGTCCCCGATTGCTGCCCCCGAGGTACGTTCTTTGGTAGCGGCATCCACTTTGAAGTGTCCAATTTGCTGGTGTCGCTGATCTCTGTGTGCCGACGTTCCTCCACTCGACGCTCCGTATATTTCTTCAGGCAGTCGACGTCCGCGCTGCGGCTACGCTGACTTCGCGGTGATCGAGATGGTCTTCGTAATTGCCCGTTGTCCACCGGGCCGGCCCTTTCCTAAAGTTTGAGCGAACGCATTCGTCGAGAGATATTGATCGCGCTTGGGATCGCCGTATTGGGATGATGT